TAATCAGCTTTCATCTCATTCCCAATCTGTTGGAAACATAGATTGTGCTGTGCTTCAAGGATAGCTTTACTGTCTTTAGTACTGCGACTTCCCTCTTTGGTACGAATACCAGACTTCAATTTGTCCTCTAACGGTTTCATTTCCCTCTCTCAATGCTTGCGTCTTGTCGCAACTCGATTCTTGTTCTTATTGGCAGAACTACCACTCTTGCTCGAAGGCCATTCTCTTGGTTTCTTTGGAACTTGAGAAAGGTTCAGCCCTGACATCGCAGCTTGCGCCTACGTTTGCCCAGATGGAGTGACTTTTGCGACTTGAGACTCTTCAGGCTCAAATACAATCTCTTCTTCTAGCGGTTCTTGTAGATCCTCCAGATCAGTAACGAGGCTCCCAATATCATTGGTTCCTCTATTGACATTTTCTTGATGGTGATCCAAATCGGCCACAATAGGTTCTTCCTCTTCATCGCCTTCATCACCCAAATCGTTGTCATCTGATTCATAGTCATCATCCCCTTGGAATCTGACGGTGAGTTCCGGCATATCATCGACATCATTGTCTGCATCTGCCAAGAGCTCATTTCTTTTGGAGTCATCGATATCATTGAATTGTCCACGTAGGTTAAAATCACGTTCATCTTCTTCTTCAGGTTCATAGTCCTGATCAAAGGCTTCCTCTAAGTAACCTTGTTCTGTGTCATCCACTCCTGCGATTTGATCTTGTCTCCAAATCTCTCTTCTTATCAAAGAACTTCATGGAGGTAACACCTTCGGCAGCAGCCCAAGCTTCAACACGCTGGATTACTTGATCGGTAACGGGTAGTACGACAACCTTGGGTCGAGAAATCATCTTCTTAGTATTCAGGCCTCGTGTAAGTCAGCGATTCCATTTTTGCCACCAAAGGTAAAAAATGAGAAAAGCTGTTGGGCCATTTTATCAGGCTTCTGGAAAGGGATATCCTCCTCAGCATCTTGGAGAACCACCATTGGAGTGGATAGTGCGCTTGTGCTGGAGGCCTTTTCAGTTGCCATGTCACCGTCATCATCGAAAACTGTGTTGATGGGACCGACCCGCTTGACTCCTTTCAGTTTCCAATAGGGTTGGACAACCAAAATATAGAACCACCGAAATTAAAATAGAAATCAATACCCTTGTGATGTTGGGTCTTCGCGTAGTCGTCAACAGTGATGGGTATGGAGGCCCAATTAAAGTTCAGTCGACTTTGAAACGCGGCAGCTATAAAACCTTTGAGATTGATAAACAAGAGGAAAGAGGTAAAACTCTGGTCTTTGACTGTAGGTGTCGGAAAGGACTGGGCCAGTTCGCAAGTGTGGGTGTTGTGATGGGCCGAAATGCCGATGAGTCAGCAGTACTTGTAAATTGCTTCTGAGGGAAGCAGGGGACGTTTTTCTGAGGAAAAAACAGCGGCAGTTAGCTGATGGCGTAACTGCGATGTGCCCCTTATTGAACGATAACAGAGCGATAAAGGTGTTTGACTAGTTACAGTGTTGCAAAAGGGAGATAATCAAAATTATAAGCTATTGGTTGGCGATAGCTATTCATTCTAGTCCATCGAGTCAACTCGACATGGGGGGATTCAATTCAGTAACAGAGTAACGAATATTAGCTGTATTGACAGACCTATACGTTTTACCATCTATCACTATCTCGTGTTGCCTGGCTTCCTGCTTGCCTTTGAGTTTGGAGGGTACATCGGCAAGCTTATCCAACATCAAACGCTATATGTCTCCAGGTTTGAGAGACTTACGTTAATCCTAGTAGAGATGCCTACTTTACTGGTGTTGATTCTGGCCTAGACTCCACACATGATCGAGATGACAACCTAGGTATCAAATTTAAGATTGATACTGATATTGGGGAGTACCAAGCTTACCACTCATCCTTCACTCCTGGCCGTCCCCGCCTATCACAGGCCCAATTGAGTCAATTGATGATGAGGCTTGTCGCCATTGGCAACAGCTTCCTGATAAAGCAAAGCCTATTATTCTTGGAGCGTCTTCCGTTTGGTCAATCTTCATGACATCTCTGCTGCTGAACTCCTCGACCACTTGCAGGACGCGAGCATGGGGAGTGCTTCTGGTGCTCTTCCTCCTGAAGTGGTTGATAATGGCAGAGACAGCATCTTAGCGCATGTGACTGTTAGGCTTAGTCTTGGAGTCTTGACAAGTGTCGTAACTTTGGGCTGCAGATTCCACCAGTGTGACATCGTCATCAAAAGTGATTGCCTTACCCGTTTGCATCTCAAGAATCCTAGAGAGTCTCTGAATTTCATCGAGATAAGGGACAGCAATGAGGGCTTGTTTGAGTAGCAGGTGTTGCTGGGTTTTGGGCATCCGTTGACTAATGTCTGCCAAGGTGTGGTATTTGCGTACCTGTTCTTGCCAATGGATGATGAATGATTCATGTGTGTTGCGCCATGAATCATCAAGTTTCGTAGTCATAATCCATCAGAGGAGACCAGTAGCGGTGGCATCAGCTTTAACAGACTTAGTGTAAGCAGTAGCAAGTTGATTGTAGATTCTCTGTGCATCAAAAGTGGCTTGATGCTCACGAACAAATTGCTTGCCTTTATCAGTGAGGAGAATCGTGGTAAAGACTTGATACATGAACGCCTGCTGACGGTCAAAGAGGTCCTTTTCATCAACAGTTTGTGGACAATATTTGTGATTGAGGACATTTTGGAGACCATAGGTGCGACAGATGGCTTCGAGGATACGGTTGTAATTTTTCCATTGCTTATCATTGCTGAAGGTAGGAAAAGACAACGGGTCACGCTTGATGCTCCTGTCAAAGTTGTCAGCGGGTGTACAACGGCTAGGCTTCTGTACAAGAGGTTGGGGAATAGTTCTATGGTTATAAGTTAGAAATTCTCCAGAAGACCTATATTCTTGTACACTATCATTGGTAATGTCCATGCAATTACTGGAAGTGACGGGATCATTATACACATGACGGCGTGAATAGACGTATCCTTGGATGACTCAAACCAGAGCACGGAGGTTCCTAGGAACTGGTACCATTTCATCGTCTTGTGGGTTATCTGACAGAATTGTATCAGGAACGGATGTGTGATTCGGACCAATACGATTCAATGGTTATCGGTCTTATGGGTCTTATAGTAATTAGTAGTAAAATAGATATATGACGTGTCATCGGATCAGAACGTTGAGAACCACACATCAACATTCGTCAATTCCCGATCAACTCATAGCGTTGTTTTTGTTTACATTGAATTGATTTATTATCTTCTAGTGTAATCTCGAGCTTTCACCCAATAATAATAATATTCTGTTGGATTAACAGTTAACTCAGTTTATCAGACCCACCGCTGCTGTACTGTTTGATAGCAACACCAGCTGACCTGCCTACAATGGCAAATGTCCAAGTCTGTGGGAGACTTTAAAAGACCTGTTGACCGACATGTCAACGTCAGGATACCTATTGCTGAATTACACCTTGTTATGATCGACTATCATACAATAGGTGCGCATAGGATACATTTCATTCTATGAAGTGTAAGATCAGACAATATCCAACCTTGAGGGGACGCATTCAAACGTTGGAGGGAGAGCCGAAGCGCCTGGATCCGAAGATCCGGCACTACGCGTCGATACGCAGCTCGTTTGGAGGGAGAAAGATCTGCAATTTATATATATATCAGCGATCTCAATCCGCCAAAATGCCCACAGGACCGTTTAAAATAAATCCGTTATTATATACGCCGACTCGCGCGCAAGCCAAACAAACGTTCATATCATTCGCCAAAACCCACACAAAATTCATCTGTGGTGACAGAAAATTCGTTTTCAACACGAAACTCAACAACAACCGTTCCAACCCGCATATCCAATTCAACCATGGCCGAACCAGCAATCCTGCGCCCTTAACGTGACAACGTTGTGCTCCTGACTCTCATCGTGGAGAGAGCGTACTAGTGCATTGATGTAGCTACTGTTGGACATGATAGACGGTGATTGATATTGCTATTGGGGTGTAATTACGGGGGTCTGAAGCAGCTGTGAGTAGATGATAGATGATTGATCTTGGGCTTGAGATTGGCGACGACCGTTGGCCTTCGATCGCTCTAATATATCTGCTTGGGACTCAGCAGTCCAGTCAGTGACGTTACGTCCCCTCTTCTTCCATTTAGGCGACTCTGTTGTAACGTCTCATCTTGGTCTGTTTTCACCTCCCTCTTCTTGATGAATGGCTGCTGGCACCGAACAAGGTAGCCGAAGAAAAATCGCCCTCTAACCCAATTGCAAATCGGGCTGCAGGATTCTCTCTGACGTCCAGGTTGCTGGCAAGCGGCTTCAAGTGTCTGACAGTTGCGTCCAGGTCCAAAGTTTGACTAGGTGCTTCGCGGTACGATGGTCAGAACGGGAGGATCAGTCCTCATCTTAGTCGTTGTACACACGTATTTCGGGGAGTAAGGGGGTTGCTATAT